AGAGCGATGGCCTCCAGCCTAAGAGCGATGACCTCCAACCTAAGAGCAATGGCCTCCAACCTAGAAGCGATGACCTCCAACCTAAGAGCGATGGCCTCCAACCTAAGAGCGATGGCCTCCAGCCTAAGAGCGATGGCCTCGAGTCTAAGAGCGATCTGGTGGTGAGACGTTGGGAATTCAACCTGAAAACAGGTCAAACTACGAAGAGACGCTCTCAACCTTGAGATATGCGGATCGTGCTTCTCTGAGTGAAAATCTGCGTGGGTACAGTTACAGTGTACAGAGACGAGGGTCTTGTCTTTGGGGTGTTGGATGTATTGAAGTGTTGGTCCTATTCTTTGAGGAGCGAAGAGGATCAAGAATTCTGCGACCATCAATGAAAACCCACAGGAGACCACAGCATCCGAAGCCATTTGAGTGCGTGCAGTGTGTGCAGAAGGTTTTGATGGTGTGACAAGTCTGACATCAGGACAAGCTCATCCGCCAGTTGCGCGAAGAGAACGAAAAGCTTCGCAATATGGTTGGTGGAGGGCGAGGGCCAAAGATCAGTGCAAGTGATACACTCGCCCTGCAAGGGTTTGAACGTTTTGTTTGTTTCCCATTTTAGGTCTCCAGGAGGAAAGACTGGGCCATCTGATGAGGAGATTGGTTTGCCTTGTTTCTCACTCGGTCTTGCGAGACGCCAAGACTGCTTGCAGGAAATGATGCTGAAACAATCCGAAATTGCAGCCTTGGAGCAGGTCATTCACAAAGAAACATGGCACTTATATCCTGGAAACTGTTCTGCATGACCTGTGCATGACCCCTTATGTCTCCTAGCCAGGCTTTGCAGGAAATGCAGAAGAGCTTTGCTGAGAGACTGGCCGAACAAAAGGCGGCATCTCTTGGACTGAGCAAACATAGCCTTCCAACGAAAGAACCAAAACAAAGCTGTTTCGGTACCAGGCTGGTGCCAAGAAGGAAAAGTCCTCAGAGATAAAATTCCCGCACATTGCCAATTTGAACGAGGCGCAAGCCTGTTTTTGTTGTTTGTGGGACGGGCTTAGGCAGTGATGCAGTCAAAAGGAGCCCTCTTTTCTTTGCACAGGACTTGCTACTCACAGCGAAGCTGAAGTTTGCATTCAAGGCCAGCAAAAGGATGCGTGAACTAGCAGAGATTCTCAACTCAAGCAATTATAGACCCCGACATAGATAGAAACAGTTTCCGATGTATATATATA